ATATATCCGTATGTATCTGCATATGAACATATACGTCTGTATTGATGTATATAGCGTATGTATCCGTGTTCGGTTGTGATGTTTACTATCAACGTTTCTTACATTTTATTTTATTCGTCAGTAGCGCCGCCGCAAGTCAACGCTACATTCTTCGACGAATCTGGTGCGAGTGCACCGTTTGTGTTTGAGGAACCGGTCAAGCTGCCAGTGGGAGTCAGGCCTAAGCCTTCGTATCCGCCGTTTGACGTTAATGAGGCAAACGCCCCCTTTTGCACCAGCGATGTGCTTGCTAAATACAGTCTGCCAGATACGAAAAAAGAGAGTCTTTTGAAGAGGATTGATAAGGTCGACTCGGAGATTAGTCAGCTAGAGCAACGTCTCAAGAACGTTTACGTAAGTGCTGTGTTTATGTGTGGATTACAGCGTGACTTTGTTGTACGGACATGGTTACGCAGGTGCTGGGTTGACTGTGTAGATAGACACGAGTGTCGACGGATGTTTTATTGAGAAAGTCGCGAAGATCCTAGTGCACTCAGCGACCAAACAACATGTTTGTAGCACGACCTGCACTGGCTGCAAACCTTGGGCAAGCATATCGGTCAGCTCGGAAACGGGCAATGTCAATATATTGTTAGTCGTCATATGATCGACCTTGGTCAATCGCAGATGAATCTACATGTATAGGGTAAGACACTATATCCGCCAGTAGCGCGTCAACACCTGGAACAGGTCGTACAGTGGTGATACCAAAAGGGGGCGATAGCACCAATTGTATATCACGTGAGTACATACGGATTGCCAGTGCATTCAGCACCGTTGGATTGGAGCGAAAAGTTTTATTGAACAAGTGTAATCGAGTGCTTTTTATCTGGCTTCACCAAGTACATCGACGGAGTGTTCACCCTTGGTCCATCTCCCAACAATAGACACAGAAGCTGCATCGAAATATCCATTCTTTATGCACACACACCTATGACATGCCATTCGCTCGCCACCCTGAGGCGTAAGATGGTTTCTGAGGTGGCGCCAGCACCTGGTAGCCTTTCATACTATCGTACAATTAAGTATCTTGAATATAAGCGCACTCATTGTCATATGTGCATGCATACGATTGAGTGCCCAAACGCTCACAGGCGTTCACGTCAAGACGTGTATATATTTACCTGTAGTGCATTTGCTCTGTATATCGCTTTCCCATACCAAGTATATGTGCAACGCACTCACAGTGGATATCGCATTACACTCTATCGGACGCTCAACACTCAGGATGAACGAGAAAGGGGCCAAGAAGAGCTGCACCTGGCCATGCAGGATCTGGACGCCAGCAAACGCCTCAAAGCCAGCCTGGAACAGAGTCTGAGCGAGAAGATAGGCGAGAAAGATCCAGAGATAACGGAGGCGGAGGAACCCGATACAGACACACATCTGCACCTGGCGGTTAATGCCGAGGAGGTGGTAGACGGCATCCTCATGGCGAATGCACGCATCGCTGAGAAGTCGCACAAGCTGGCCCAGGTCAAGAACTTGTTTCCCAAGGTGTGTACCCGGCTGATGATGGTGGGTGATTTGGTGGGACTGTGTGGTGTGCGTGGCTGGGTTCCAGTTTGTGTGCGCATATAGGTCTTGCTGGTTTGTTCGAGTGGTAGTGAGGTGCGTAGTGCTCGAGGATCTGGGTATGTGTCAAAAGTTGTATATTTGTTATAGATTTTAAGCGTACTTGATATATTTATATGCAAAAATCTAATTTATACAACGTAGTTGTATATTTGTTATAGATTTTAAGCGTACTTGATACATTTATATGTAACTATCTGTTATACTACGTAGTTGTATATTTGTTATAGATTTTAAGCGTATTTGATACATTTATATGTAACTAACTAAGTTATACTACGTAGTTGTATATTTGTTATAGATTACAAGCGTACTTGATACATTTATATTTAAC